GTCCAATGTAGCATCTTTTTTCATATCATTCCTGTAGCCTGTCATTTTTAAATCCACTTTCAGATCAGTCTGAGTCTTGTCTGGTAAAACTTCCATAACATCTTTTAAACACAGTCTATCTATAGAGGCAAACGCTCTTAAAATTAACTTCTGGATCCATTGTAAATACCTTTCAGTATGTCCAATGTTAAAATGTTTTGCTCCATTCTGCATTAGTAAGTCATATTTAAGTGTTCTTCTCCTTTAATTGTAATCTTTAGTTTTTTCTGGTTCCTTCTGGTGTCCAACCTTCAAAGTCTCATCCTATCTTTTTTTTTTTAAAGTTAATTCAATACAAAAGCATTTCTTACAGGAAGGATTCCTATAATTAATTCCAAAATCTCATTTCATATCCATGTGGATCCTTAGTCCACTTGTAACTTTCCAAAATCAAATTTCTTATCACCCTTTTGCTGTTTATTCCAAAAGAATTTTTTTACAACTTTTTAAAACTTCTTTCACTAAGGATTGAAGGAAACTCACCCAGTACTATAAAACACACTGATTCAAAGGTTCCTAATAGCTGAAAAGCAGTTAATAAGCAATATCCAAAAGTGATTAGAAAAGGAAGTATGCAAACCCAGTGTCTTTTTTTAAGGCACCAAACATAGTTTGAGTGAAAAGATGGTTATTCCCTCATCTCCCAGAGCTCTAAATCCACTGGAGACTGCTGTCTTGTAGTTTCCTCATGAGGAGCAACTATATGGAGCACTTGTGGGCGATCTCACGTCGTCTCCTTGTCCAGAGAGGATTACGAAGAGCTGATCTACCCACTAGCTCTTCATTCTGCCATGTCTTCAGTTCGCCATTTCTTCCCTGGAAGTCTCCCCTTCTCTCCAGCCTCTGAAGCAGAATTTGGAGAGACAGGAGAGGAGAAAGGGTCTCCCATTCTGCCAGTAGAATATGCTCCAACAGTGGAACTAACTGGATACTACCCGGTTCTCTTAAAAGCTGAGATGTATGATCACTTCATAAACAATTTTGTTATATGAACAAAGATAATATTAGATCAACATGAAAGATATTCCTACCTGATGCTCCTGTTATGTCCATTGCTTTTAAATTTCTTGCTTTTATTATAGTTATAGTTAGTCTGCCAGCTGTTGGAAGATAGCAAAGCGAAAACATCAACTCGCCAAGATCCACTTTGTCCTACAGAGTAATAAAATGCATATGGAACAATATTAAAAATGTCTTTCCACATCTGTTGAAGTATCACTAATGAGACTGATACATCACTTTTTCCTAGCAGTCTCGTTTTTCAGGCTTTCAACTTGTTTGCTGTTTCCAGAACAAAAGGGAAATTCTGAGTGAAGTTTTCTGAGTAAAATTCTGGGTAAATGCAAGGCATATGGAGAAGGTGCATCTGTGATCATGAGCTGTTTAAAACAAGAATGGAGTCCTCCCCTTCCCCAGACCTACAAAGTCACTTTTTCCTATGTTCTTCTTGTAGCTTCTTTTATCATCTAGCTTCTATCCTCTTGCCCACAGAGTAAAAAACCAAGAATAGTAACTAATGAATCCCCAAGCAGATTTTCCCTCATTGGAACTAATTATGGCTCTTAAGAAGGAAAAGCCAGAATCTTCAGTTGGACTATGGACACCCACAGCACTCTAAGTCAATTTATGTAAGAGTTTAGAGACCACCTAACTCCTAACAACTTTGGGCATCTTACACTTAAAAATGCAAGAAAATACCATTAAAAAAGAGAAACATTCATAACGGGTCCAAGGACAGATGTATACACACACACACACACACACAATATCTGTCATAGGCTCCACCATCAACCTACCCCAAGACCTGGGACAATAGGTCTCCCTAGAACATCATCAGGGTGGGAGCCATCTGGATCTCTGTCAATTTTCTAGATATTCAAATATCTGTCTTATGTCAAGAAAAGTTTTCCTCCTCAAATATGCAACCTTTCCTATTATAAAAGTTTTGCATCACAATCATCATAACATTCCTGGAAGCAATGTGTTTTGGTGTATGGATTAAGCAAATTAAGTTACTTAAACATGCAGACTGAACATAGTTTTGTCCCTGTTGATTTGAGAGCTCACTATAGAAGTTAGAAGGATGTTCCTTCTCCAAATCATGCAAGTCAGATAGTATTGATCTTGAGCTTGACAAACTCAGAAAGGGTTGATCTTAGATGTGAATCAATCCCCAGTGAACCAATAAGCACTAATGAAATTTATATTTAAAGCATTTCACATTCATTTTCTGAATAATTAGAGGGTAGACATTTCCTAAGAGCTTTATATGCAGGAGAAAAAGCTTCCTTTTAAAACTATTTGATTTTAATTTGGAAATAACTAGGAAGATGTTTATAGAATTGACTTCTACCAGATTTTTGCAGTCATCATATGATCTAAAGATATTTCTATGGTACTTCATATTAAATAAAATAATCAGTTATAGTAAATTTGAGATATTTTAAAACTGGAATCCCAAACTCAAACTGTAACAGCTGCCACATGAGGAATAACTTGAGGGCCACAACAGTGATGAAGTCCCCCGCCCAGTAAAAAAGCTTCCAGTGAGTAAAAAATGAAGAAAATGAAGAAAATTATAGAATTCCCTCAAGCAGGGAAAGAATTCCTGAACAGGAAATAGCAAGGCAGGTTTTTGCTGAATTCCCCAGAAATTCAGTTAGCCTGCCTAGTAATTGTGAACAAGTACAGGAACTGGTTTGGCAACATCCTTATGTTTAGGTTTACAATCCCTGCCTCTATTTGCATATCTTGGTACCCTTAAGAAAATATGAAGCCCAAGGAAGGCTTCATTACATATGGAGGGATTCAGAATTAAACACACACATCTACTTCTAGATAAGTGCATTAAAAGAGAGTGAAACCCAGGAGCTAAACTCAATATTTGCATCTTCAGTTAAAAACCTTTCAAGTGTATGGAATTTGGTGTAACAGTAGTCTTACAGAGGCTCAGTTCAAATTCTGATGTACAATTTAAAACTTGCCACAAGTAATATGTTGTCAGCTCAGAAAAGACGTGGTTCAGTAACAGTCAAAAGTCAGACTGACAAAACAAATCTCTTTATAAAAGAATCCTTAGCATATTCTACTGGCTGGTCAGCACTTCTGGCATCTATTACTGTGAATGGCAAACTTGACCAGAACAAAAACAAAAACAAAAACAAGATTACTTTCATGACAAATACCAGTGAATTAGATAAAGTAAATACATTTACTGAATAAATTTTATATTACTGAAAGCTACTTTATTGCACAGAATTGGCCAGAACTCATCACTGGAGTTTGAAAAAAAAATCTAAACAATAATTGAACTATGTTACAATTCATGATTGATATAATAAAATGTTATTATTTTGCCCCTCCCCCCATTATCAATTAGACTTCATTAGGATGTTTCTGATGCCCAAATTCCTACAAATAATTGAATTACGATAAACTCCTAGCTTGCATGCCCTGTGTTAAAAAAAAAGCCCTATTTTATCCCCTCTTTCTATCATCACCAAAAATTGATAGAGTAAGGAGCAGACAAAACTGGGTACTAAGGAACATAGTAAGGACACTGTCACACCTTAAGGATCATGGAGTATACTGTAGGAATAGGGAAGGAGGAAGAAAATGTAACACTTTGGCCTGAGCACAAGGAATAGAATACAAAAGCAGCAGCACGGGAGCAAAAAAAGAATTGTTGAGGATCCAAGTGCCTTGTCTATCTGACCAGAAAGTCTGAAAATGACGCCCACCATTATATCAGGGAGGATGAATGAGTTCAGAGCAACTCTTGATTTAGGCTACTTTGGTGATTGCTTGCATGATCATATGCAAGAACACAGAGCTACATTAGTTAAAATTGCCAACCAGCTGTCCTAAATGTAACTCTAAAATGTCTGGTTGCTTTAAAATCTTCCAGTAGTTCAGCCACTTTGGCAGTGCCTTTTGTTCTGAGGGGATAAATATTTAAGTTCTTATAGTGCACCAGACAGCAAATTGCTTTTGAACTCTTCATACATTAATGATCTTTCCAACCAGCATATTCCTATCAGCTGCATTTGTAAAATTTTAAGTTTGGTTAACAATGAAGATGGACACATCCCGAAGTTTTCACACTAGTTTGAAGCTGTATGTGAATACACTCTTAAACTACATACCTATAACTCCCTGCAATGCTGTAGCTGTTCATGACATTCAAAAATAGATGAGCTTAGAAATAGAATGATCCTGTAACAGTTTTTGAATTAAATTAGGAACTACAGTGCCATAGTAGATAATGGGTATATATATTCATATTCACATATAGTTTCAATCTGTCATAATAGTATCTTAATACAGTTCTCCAGTTGTAACATCTAGAAGCTCAGCAGCTGGCAGCCCCCAAGTGATTTGGTTGATCTTAGGCAGGAGACCTCTAGGAAATCCCATGGTTATATGCTAGACAGGCAAGTCAATAAAAATATGGAGAAGACTATGACAAGTGACTTCCACACTGTTGCTAAGAACATGACATGAATGTGTCCATATAGTCACCAGGAGTCGAACTCCACACAACTGAGTATTCAAAGAAGTCAAAGAATAGTCCACGTTGATGCAAAAGCAAAGGGAAAGAAAATACTATTCTGATTCAAAGGTGTTATCATACCTGGATGAAGCAGAAGCTGTAGATTTTGCTCTGTCTGCCATTAACCTTTGGTTTGAACTAAATAGCATGTTCTGTGCTATTTTAGCTGCCTATTCATTGCATCAACTGTGAGGACCAATTTCTAATCATATCAAAAGGGACAGAAGTGAAAATACTGTGATAGCATGATGATGACAAAGATGGTAGCAGCAACAGGTCTTCCCATGCAGTACCATGCAAAATTTTTAATGCAGAATGATGTATCATTAGGCTTACATAAGGAGTGCTCCAATGACTGGTATTCAAATCTCATCAAAGGGACAGCTCTAAAGAGCTCAGGAAGTAAGACATCTTTAAAAATATTGCAATGACAGGTCAATTTGGCTAAAGGACAGAATGACTGGGATTGTTTTGTTTTGAAAGGATGGCCCGATCAAATGTCACGCCATAGACTTGCAAATTTCTAGAATCCCTGATTACTGCAGTAAAATGCCGGGCTCTTTCAGGAGTTATATGGATTGACTACCATTCTAATTTAAAGCCATTTGTTGATAGGTACCACCATTAAAATAAATGGGGTTCTCATCAGTATAGGGCTTTGCAATTGTCCTCCTGCATAACCAATTGAAATTTAAATGTGGAAAAAGGCAAAGTACTACCATTAAAACCAAATGTATCCATTATCTTTTGGGATAAAGCTGTCTTGAGACATTCATGAACTTAATTTGTTTCATCCCCAGTGTTTGTCTTTTTTTAAAAAAACATACTTTTAATCACAGTCAATGGATGGTTTGGATTAATGAGGCTTAATGACGCTGAAAGTTGCTGGCCAGAAATGGTCGATGCGTCAGCGGTTCGAGTCCAGCCTTCGCGTTAAACAGGGTGAGCTCCTGTTTCCTCCCCAGTTC